GAACGGATGAAAGAAATTTGGGACTCGGTGCAAATCATACAACGGGGAGAACTGGGTATCACCTCTGAGGTATTTGTGTGTTAATTCATTCCAGAACAACAGATACTGAGGTTTCCTGTGGTTTCTGAAGAAGGGCAAGAAAGTAACAGATGACTCTATGAATGTTTATGAAAACCAAACATTGTTAGCTCTGTTTTTAGAGTTTCTTTCACATTCATAGATGTGTATCTTACTTGAGTGATGGAAATTCAACTTTTTCTTGCAATAACATAAAAAGACTGTGCAAATGATTCTAACGCCAATCCAAAGGTCTTTTGGCCAACCTTTCCTAGATAAGCTTTTGTTCTTTGACTTACTGTCAGTGAAATATGAGGCATCATATTATCTGTCTTGCCTGGTGAATAATGAGCAGGATGACAACAAATCAATGTTGCATGTGAACTAACTTGTGAAAAGGCCAGATACAAACACCAAATTACTAATAAAAATACAATAAAGTTCACCACCTAGAAAAGCCTGCCAATTTCTGATTGCTGTAGCAAAACAAAGCATCAGTTTTCTACTGAATTACTATAGAATTCTCCCTACTGCCCCATGGTTGCATTAAAATACATTATATTTATAGCTAAGAATAATTACATTTTGGTACATTTTGCCTAGCTGAGAGAGGCATATCGATGAGAGAGAACATTTACCACTGTTGATATAGTATTGAATTAACCAATTATTTTCTATTTGGGCAGTGACTTGATAACTTTTGATACTTAATATTGTGGAGGGAAAATGGCTCAAGAAAGGCTTAGAAAGAAAACTGATGCTATCTAGATTTCCCTGGTGGCGCGGTGGATAAGAAACCACCTGCTAGGGCAGGGGACATAGGTTAGATCCCTGGTCCTGGAAGATTCCACCCACAGGCCACAGAGCAACTCAGGCCATGTGCCAGCCACAACTACTGAGCCTGCGCTCTGGGGTTAAGTAGTGGCAACTACTGAAGCCCATGCACTTGCAGACACGTTCCCCAAAAAGAGAAGCCACCTCTCGGAGAAGCGTGTGCATTGCCACAAAGAGTAGCCCCCACTTGCTGCAACTAGAGAAAGTCTGTGCAAAGCAAACAAGACCTAGCACAGCAAAAAAGAGAGAAAGAGAGGAAGAAAGTTGATGATATCTAAGTTCTTAGAAACAAAATTAAACACTGTAATAAAGCAAGAGACAATCTTCTCAAGATTGTGATTACCCTGGGCTAGATATATTTCCAAAATGTATCCTTCTTTCTCCATACTTCTGCCATTGCCTTATTTCCTTACCATTTTCATGGTATTTTCTATTCTGCTACAATATCCCCTACATTCTCTACCTGCCTTGGCCTCATGTCCTCCAATCCACCTTCTATATCCAAAGATCAGGATTCCTGTAAGACACACAAGACTTCACAATTGGCCTCACGTCACTTTCTCAGATTATCGTCTACCCTGTGCATTGGTTTCAAACTCAACAAACCTCATACAAGAGCTACCAACTGCAGAAAGACATAGACAAGCAATTAGAATGCAATGTGAAGAGGATTACAATAGAGAAGCCTACTTAATAATGCAAAATAAAGGAAAGGGAGGTAACCTTAACTAGAATAGGATTGGATTGCAAAGGAGTAGTTGGAGAAATACTAAAGGAAAACTAATGGGACTATTCCATTTTTCCCCTTCATCTTTTATTTCTACTTTTTGCCTTTGGCTAGGGAACTTTCTCTTTACCTGCACAGAAAATGCTGACATTAGTAACATTTTGTTGTAGCCATTGGTTAGCAATCAATTCTGATGTGGAGACTACTTTATGTTAGGGACTTTTTTGTTGTTCATTTGCTAAGTCATGTCCAACTCTTTTGCGATCCCATGGACTGTACATTGCCAAATTCTTCTGTCTATGGGATTCTCTGCAAGAATATTGGAATGGGTTGCCATTTCCTTCTCCAGGGGGTCTTCCCACACCTGGGGTTGAACCTGAGTCTCCTTCTTGGCAGGCAGATTCTTTACCACTGAGCCGCCAGTGAAGCGCTCATGTTAGGGACTTCTCACTGTCTTTATCCTTTCTGCCTCTGGCTAACAGCCTGGCATCCAACAGCCACCCAACTCTGGGTACTACTATTTGTGAATAAGTGATTCAAGATTCATCTCGAAACTCAGCTTCCATAGGCTTGCCCCAGCCTTCTTTGGCATACATGATTATCCCTTCCTGTATGCAAGTTATTATTTTGCACATGTGCTTAGCTAGGGCTTCCCATACAAAACTGTGTGTGTATGATTTTTGGTTTCCACCTCCCCCTACTTGAGTTTCCTGAATCAGGGATCAGATCCTCCTTATTAATTGTGTTTATGTTTCTTTTCTTTCCTATTCCTTCTTGTTTTTAATTTTTAAATTGGTAGAAAACTGTGCTACAATTTTGTGTTGGTTTTTGCCATACAACAATGTGAATCAGTCATAATTATATATGACCCTGTTAGGTCATCACAGAATGCCAGGCTGGGCTCCCTGTGTTATTTAGCAACTTCTCATTAACTATTTCACACATGATAGTGTATACATGTCAGGGCTACTTTCTCAATTCGTCCTACCCTCATCTTCCCCTACTGTGTCCACAAGTGGATTCTCCACTGGGCTCTTAAGTACCATTTTTCTAGATTTCATACATATGCGTTAATATACTATATCTGTTCTTCTCTTTCTGACTTACTTCACTTTGTATAAGAGGCTTTAGATTCATCCACCTCACTACAAGTGTCTTTGTTCCTTTCATCTCTTCTGTTTTCCATCCTGGCACTGGGCTTAATAGTTCTTATATATTTGAAAAAAAAATGTGTGTTGAGTAAGTTCTCTATTATGATATATTAAAACAATAAAACAAAATCTACATAGCAACATAGGAAGTACAATTGCTGAATCCTTGATTGTCAGACATAAAAATGATTAAAAACAGAAAGGTGACTTCTAAAGCTTTTGTTGTTTGTATTTCAAGAAAACTTTAAATATGCATAAGTCAAATCAAGACATATAAAAATTTCCATAAAAGCTCTCCTGTAAATTATTCAATGTTAATATCATGAATAACAGAGTATAAATATAGAAAATATTCAAAAATATTTTTTCAGTATTATAAGATTTTCACATCAGAAAATACAAAACTGTAAATAATATAACAATATATGGACAAAGTCACTCAAATATACTAATTAAGATATCAAATTACTTACAAGTTTTATGTTATCTGAGTTCAAGACTTTATAAATGTTTAACAGCATTACTTTTCTCTCCTCAGTTTATAAGTTCAATTTTATTATTTTATAACTATAGCCTTTAAAATGCATATTTATAAGCCCTGTAAATAATATTTTCTTGTGAAATGCACACCTTTGTTCCCTGCTCTCCTGCCCAGGAATTGTGTGACACTAACATAATTTGTTATTGATATATGTCACATAAAATCATGTATAAAGGTATATTCTTAAAATAGTCAGAGAAAAGGGTGTGCTTTTAACTTCCTATTTCAGATGTGAACTTTTAAAAACAAGTACAATAAAAATGATATGCTCTTATATGGGAACTGTAATCTCAGGGAAGCAAATGAAGCCTTTTGGAGGGAAAGAGAGATACAGAGAAAAAATATGGAGGTATGATTATGTAAGGGCTTCCCTGGTGGCTCAGTGGTAAAGAATCCATCTGCCGATGCAGGAATGCAGGTTGCATCCCTGAGTCAGAAGATCCCTTGGAGAAGGAAATGTCAACGTACTCCAGGACTCTTGTCTGGGAAGTCCCATGGACAGAGAAGCCTAGTGGGCTACAGTCCACGGGGGCCGCAAAACACAGTTGGACACGATTTAGACTCTAAACAACAACAACAAAGCTTAGGTATATATATATATATATATGCATGTCCATCTATCTGTGTATATAATGTGTATATATATATATATATATAATGTAACTGAAAAAAAGGCTAAGGCTAATGGAATTTTTTTAGGAAGCAAATGTGATAGAGAAATTTCTAGTTAGGAAAATTAATCTGGAAACCTCAAAGACAACAGTAGTATAAAAAGAAAAGGAGATGGAGAAAAAATTACAAGCATGTGCACAAGATCTTTAAGTAAAACAAGATAAGAAATAAAACTATTGTTTAAATAAACAGATATTTTAATGTCTAAGTACGTCTAAATAAAGGAACACTTAAAAAAAACTGCCTCTATTCTATACTTTTAAGTTTCAGTCAAAAGCAATGGTGATCTAGGAACTGCAAGGAAGACAGAGCACTTAGAATTAGTAAGGAGTATCAACACTTTTCTACCTTAAAATCAATTAACACTTCAACAGAGGAAAACAAACTAATGCTTGTGAGATGTTTGGGAAAGAATAAGGAAACTGGTCCCATTTAAAGACCCTTAAAGTAAATTTTCTATTATAAAAAAGGTTTGTTACAGAGTGTGCATTGACTTGAGCCTCTCTTATTGTTCTGACCCCTAAATTCCCATCAAAGCTGATGATTAAAGTTCTACACACTGGCTAGATCCCTACAATTATCCCATTGTGATGGAGCTCAACAGTGGGCACCCTGCTATGGCCAGACATCAAGTCATTAGAGAAATGCGAGGGATGATGAAGAAGGTTATTTTAATTTCCTTTTCAGCCCTTCTATGGAGTGCCTCTTTAGTTCACAGAGCTCTGGGTTACTTGCTTTCAAACTAACAAGCAATATTATAAATGGAGGCTGCATTATCATGATTGCAGACAATCTAAGGCACTTGATGGCCAAGGATTCGAGGTCCTCAATATGTGCCGTGTTGTATTTATCAGCTAAAAATATATAGATGCAGCAAACAATAGAAGGGGAGGGGGACAAGGAAAGGCTGGCAAGGGGGCAGGGAAAACAGTAAGAGAACACAGCATCAAGACACAAATGCATAAAAGAGACAGCAGTATAGCCCTGGTCATTTTGTTGGTAGATGAAACATTTTTACCCATTTTCTTGCTGTTCCACTGTATAGTGTTCCAGCTCTGTACCCGGAAGAGGCTGGACTGGGGGAGGAGGTAGTGGAACATTGGCCCAGGTCGATCCATTGTTTTTCTGTGGTTTAGAAGAGTTTTTATTTTTCTTCTTTTTTCCACCTTTCCCACCTGAAAGTAATAATATATTTATTCAGACACACCGCATATCAGAAGAAATGGAGTACATCAGATGGGAAGATGTATTTCTGTTTTCAAAACACCAGAATCAGTATGTTACAGTTGTTAAAAGCTATAAACAATGAAATGATATGATCAGGAAAACATTTTTATAAATCACTCAAAATGATATTGTTTCTTTCACAATGCATTAGTTGCAGAGCTGAATACACAAAAACATGGTTGCAGTGGCAAAAGCACATTTATTGATTTATTCACATTTGCTGCCTCCACGTTTTCATTGTTAGACGAAATAATGGGCCATAACAAATTCTTTAAAATGTCAGATTTTAGTGCATTTATAATGCTCTTTTGCATAATCTGTCTTAGTGGAAAAATGCAGTGTCTAAGGATACAGGCTAAACTTTTCCATTAGAATTTACTCAATTTAATTAATCCAGGAGAGTAACAGTTTTCTCTCAAAAGTAACTTATAAAAATCAATCAACTACAATCTGGAGGATACTTGTAAATCTTTCACAAGGATATGTTTTATAGAATTTTTAACTAATGAATGGCACAATTATTTTTTGCATATAGTGAGTGGTTCCCAGATGTCTAACATATCTTAAAATACCAAGTATGGAGAAAAGTAATGGAAATATAGTAATCAATTTCAGTAGTATTATAATACAAATGAATTCATGCACAAAATATGAGCAGAAAGTAACTTGGCAGCATATGAGCCATATCTGGGATTACCAGAGCTTAATGAATTATAAAAATAAAGGTTTTCATTTGTTCAATGAAGTACTTTTTACTGCTCCAAATTAAGTACATCAAGTTTCTTCCTAAATGGACCACAGCTGGATGCAGAAATGTGTACTGCTTGAGCAAAAGATACTTTAGGGGAACGTAGGTAACTTCTGTCATTCCTATGGCAGTCAATGGCTATATTTAAAAAAAAAATGGTATTGACCCCTTGAACTATATCTTTCTGGAACAAACAGTTATGAGTATAAAATATTCATAGCAGGGCTATCTAACAATAGAGATATCACTAGAAATTTGCCTCAACTCCTTTCTTCTATCAATTAACCGGCATCAGCCAATTCAGAAAATTATGAAATTTAACAATAACTTTGAGTGCCAGAAAGTGATGAAACTGTAAACTAGATATATACCCTATTGCTAAATATGAAATTGTGTCTGTTTTCTAGGCCGTGCGTACATATATACACAGAGAAAAGAGCATCCCTGAAAACTAAGTGCTTTCACCCTTCCTTTCACTTTTTATCTTTGGCAGAAAAAGTATTAAGAGAAAGGAGAGCAGGTAACTTCTAGTTCGAGGAGAAGAGTTGAATCTCTGGGCTTGAAACTAGTTTCTCATTTACTTGATAGTTACTCAATAGATATCACCTCAATTTCCATACATGTAAAAAAGATATCAAGTTACTACTTGTTTGGGTTATTTTGATTATTATAAGAGGTAACACATATAAAGGCTTCACAATGTACAGAACGTTCAATAAACGGCAGTCATCACCCCTCTCTTCCATCTCCTTCACCTCAGCACAAACTCAAGTCTGCTGTTTACAAAGCTATTCCACAGCCAACTCCTCCAGCCCCATTGAGGATCCCAGAAATAGTCTGATGCTTAGGATAAAAATAATCAACCTGATTGATTAAAGTTTGTAATTTTTGTGTTTAAGGTAGGTGAGCCTTAACCCTTTGTTTCCTTGTTATTTGGTGGGTAACCCACCACAGTCATAAACAAAGATTGTATCTTGCTTGGTATTTTTAGAACTATGTCTCACTACTTAGAAGAACAGGATGGGCATGTGTTCTTCATAGTTTTTCCGTTGTACCTCTCATTCCTTATATATTTATATGTGGACCTTTTTTTTTCACTTTTTATAGCACTTTTAGAACTCTTATATGATCTCCACCAGACCTGAGTGACACAAATAGGGAAGTTTTTACATCTCCATTTTATAGATGGGAAAATAGAGGTTCTTTCTACATTTGTGTATATTCATAGTAAGAACAAATAATTTAGAATGCAGCAGCTTTAGTGGACATTACAATTTCTGCAGCTCTGAACTCAGCTTTGTTGAAATTCTTCTCCAAGGTCAAGAAAGCCATTACCACATCTTACTGACAACTGACTTAAAAATGTGCTGGGGAAGCAGAGCTGATTCACAAAGGGAATTTGTGAGGCTCTCCATCCATTGTCCACTTTCTCCTCTGTGGGGGAAATTTCTGCTTTCTCACTGTGGGTACTTTTAGTAAGACTATCGATCAGCATGCTTTGTCTTTTCTAGAAAGAGGTAAGAGGTGGGCGCCGAGCATAATAGTGCCATATGATACAAGCTAAGGAAATTAAATTCTCTGAGATCCATATCTTGAGCTAAGTGAGCCCAGTTTGTTGCTGTTACTTGCAACTTAAGATCCTCAAGCATTTTAAGGTTTTGAGAACTGTCTGCATTATGTATTTAGTCATCACATATTTTGATGACTGGCAGACATATTTGAACCATTTCTCTTCAAGTGAAAATGTAAATATTTGAATTTACATTTATTTATGCGGAACAAGTGATTTCTATGTAAAGAAAATTGTGAAAACAGCTCATTTTCAAATTAAATTTAGTTTTTAAAAATACTAGTATATAAAAATATTTAGTTATTACTACTGATGCTTGCAGAAGGAAATGGCAACCCACTCCAGTAATCTTGCCTGGAGAATCCCAGGGACCGAGGAGCCTGGCAGGCTACAGTCCATGGGGTTGCAAGAGTCGGACACGACTGAGTGACGAGGCACATATGCATCACTGCTGCTGCTGCTGCTAGTCGCTTCAGACTCTGCGACCCCGTGGACTGTAGCCTGTCAGGCTCCTCAGTCCCTGGGAGTCTCCAGGCAAGAATACTGGAGTGGGTGGCCATTTCCTCCTCCAGTGGAATCTTCCCGACCCAGGGATCGAACCTGTGTTTCCTGCAGCTCCCACACTGCAGACATCTTCTTTACTGCTGAGCCACCAGGAAGCCCTATTACTATTGATATTGTGCTGTATATTTGTGCATATGTATAAAATTATAATTACAGAGATTATTTTGAAAAAAATCTGAGTTTTATAGTTTTAATGTTTGGTCTTTTGAAGAGGAGTGCTAAGAAATTATATATTGAATAAATCATTATATGAATGCTTCAAAGGGTGAGAAATTCACTCAGTTTAGGAATATCCAATTTTGTTTATTACCATGATAATTTTAAACTGGTTTCATTAACACTGTGCACAAATTAAGAAAATCTTATGATTCAATATCCATAGGGCAGTTAGATCTTAAATGTATGCTTTAGAATACATATCAATGATTCTAAGAATAAAAAGAACTCTAATGTTAAATTCAATTTGACAAAACTAAGAAGAGAACAATCACGTCAGTCTTGTCTCTTAAAGAAAGCTTTCTATCACCAATTTAAGTAATTTTGTATTCAAATGTAGATGAAGTAGTTAATATAAATCATAGATATATATATAAATGTCACTCAAGAGATTAATGGATTCAAAAATGTAGTAAGTACTATTGTGAATCATGTTCTGCTTAGAATTACTCAAAAGGTAACTTTTAAGACTCAATGGTAATCAACATATAAGAATATTTAATGATGGTTTCACAAAAGGTCTTTTACAATCCATGACTTATAGTATATAGACTTCTAAAATATATATATTGATTGAGACTTGGCATATTTCTAATGATATAAGTCTAGAATAAATTAATTTTTAAATTATTCAATATAATTATAGGACTCATCATAAATAAATGACAGTACAAATGACATTTAAGGTTATTTAAAAAAAATTCTTTTATATTATCAGGCCATTTAAATTTGTAACAGATGCTTAAAATTTTCTGGATTCTACAATATATCCAATTCTACCAATAGGTAAGGAGAGCAAATGGCTCATTTTGGAGAGAAGAGAGAACATTAACATGTTCAGGCTGAAAGGGTTCTATCTCTATGGAAAGATCACTTAACTAACTAAGTAGCTAATGTTACCCTATGATGTAAAAGAGTTAACTATTTATGGTCTGGATACCTCATAACCTATGACATATCTCAATACACTATAATCTTTCACTCAGTAACTGAGGTTAAAAAACTTCATAAAAACAAATAGACTATCAATAGTATGAAAAAACAAGAAAATAAAGTCATGGATCAATTAGAAATGAGCAAAGAAAGTCATCAGTCATACACAATGTACAAATCAGAATGTCTACAAGGATCTCCTCATTTTAGAGATGAGGATCCTTGGGCCTAGAGATCACTGATATTCATTATGATAGGTACATATTTCTTTCCAGTAAAATGTGTTTTCCCTACATGTGCTATTTAATACCTGCATTATGGATTGTTAGTTCAGCTAATGTATCTTGAATATATATTAAAATTTACAGCATAAAAATTCCCAATATAAAAGACTGGGGTTTTTTAAGAAATTAAATGTAAAGAATTGTGTCCCATATTAACATTCCTGTTTAGCATGGTATCAGGATCTTACTCTAAATAATATCATCAATAGATAACACAATATTTTGGAAAACTTGTCCAAAAATAGGAAGCCACATCACCAGACTCTTAGTATTATGAACAATTTCCAAAATCATTTGCATTTTAGTTGAATATGGTGTCCATGTGATGGAGCTGATTTTCCTATGTGATCATTTTATTGCAAAGTTCACTTGACTCTTAAGTAGGGTTCAAAGCAGATCAAACTCATCTGTTCCTTAATAATCAGTATTTAGTAAAATGGCACTATCTTTCAGTAAATACAACCTTGTACAATTCATACATAAAGGCTGATGGTGAATTTTACCCTCCTCCACCCCCAAAACTTGATTTCATTAGGATAAACTCCTACTGTCATTTGAGAGATAAATGTCTGGCAGTGAGTTGTGAGCCAGTACTTCTTCATGAGTGTTAGGAACACAGGTCATATGCTGGTGACAAACAAATATTTCTCCTTACTGTGATGAGACCAACCTGAGAGACTGCCACTCCTCTCTGAGCTGTTGTGAGAGCTGGTGGTGCTGAAATCCTGTGACTGGTTGTGTGGCATTCTATTAGACAATCCCTCAGCCAATCGGTAGTCAGGGATGTAAAGTAAGGCTAAGGGTTAAAGGGCAGAGGTCATAGTGGCATCATGTGATTAGTTCACAGCACAAGCCCATGCAGAACATGCAGTTAGCAATTCAGAAGCAGATGTCGTAGGACAGTGGAGGAATGTTTTGTCTATCCTGCCTAATGGAGGTCGAGATGGATTACTGATCACTATTGAAAAAAGAGCTAAAAGGATGAAACCAATTGGTGTTGTGTGGTGATAGCAACAGTGGTGGTGGTGGCGGGGACTGTGCAAGGTACTGAATACATGCCAGTGTATCTTTATAGTTTAGGTAGTGAACCTGGTGATGAATTACTAAACCGAACAACAAATACTACTTTCTATCTCATGCAAAAATGATATGAAAATAACTCTTCTGGAAGCAAGAACTGGACTTACCGTTGTTACCTTTGTTCTGATCGGGTAGAGAATAACCAAAGCCCATCAGGTCTGTTTTTTGCTGAATTGAGCTTTTCCACTGTGGATCAGGCAGATCGACAGCCAATTCATGTATGCTATTGGAATGCAATATCTGTGTCGTGGCATATGGGGTAGCCTGTGTTATTTGGCTGGAACTATTGTAAGTGGTTTTGGTCGTGAAGTCAATGCTGCTATAAATGGCTCCATCTGAGAGCATTGTTGCCGTTTTATCCCCTTGGCCTGGAACTGGTGGCAGCACATCTGTGGTGAACATAGGGAAATGAAACAATTTAATGATGCACAGGAAGCCCAAAACTATCAGGACTGAAGATGAAAAATAAATGTGTCATGCCGCACGTTTGCATTTCAGCTGAGATGGGCTTCATGAGCCAATGAAGGGTAGATGATGTACAACCGTCGCCAAGCTATCAGCCTTGGTGACAGGCAGGCCCACCGCGCGTCCTTCACGTCTCACTGCTTACCCCACCCCATCCCCCATTTTCTTCAACCATGAATGAGAAATTTGGTGTATTTCACTACTGAAAAAATGCTTTCAGTGGTTCATTCTGGTTTAGAATCCATGAAATTGTTAGCTCTTTACAGAAGCAACGGCAAAAGTGAATCTACAAATCATGGATGAAAAGCATCTTTTTCCACTTTATCCCAAGAGAAATGGAAAATAACTGCTAAAATAGATGCAAAAGTTTCCAAAATTATACTCTCCAAACTATGAGGCGCTTTTTACTGAAGTTTCTACTTGCTGTTTATCTGAGTTGATTTCACAGCTCCAGAAATGGAGTGTAACTGATGGTAGCAATTTTTTTTTCTTGGATAACAAAGGAAGATTTTCATGAATAAGTCATTTTCACAATACAGCAGGATTTAACTACAGAAAAAGCAATCCGGGTGATCATAGAGTTTAATTTATGCTACCAAATCTTAGAAGTGCAGAATTATAGTTTCAAGTTGTAATACAGCAAGACTAAAATTAAACTTCAGGAAAAACACTGAATATCAATCAGTCCATTTATCACTTTGGTGTGCTAAATTATCTTTACATGATGTTTTTAAATTCAGAACTGCTACCTCTCTCCTGAGCACTTATTTTCCTTCTCAGAATAAAGACACTAGAATCTAAAAAAAACAAAAACAAAAAAAACCTACTAATACTATTTTTAATCATGTAGAGTTAAAAGCAAATATATATTATGCTACTTAATAATATATGTTCTGAAAGTCACATTTCACAGGACATGAGTTCATCAACCCTCTTGATTTCATTATGGAAAATTTTCAACTAGTTATAGTACTATAATAATAAACCAAATGATCTCAGTAACAAAACCAGCTTATCATCACAAGGAGAAAACTGAAGTAGGCAAAATATCCTAAATCATTTAGATTCTATGATATCTAACAGTACTTGAAATAAGGATTCTTGTAAAAATATTAATTTTGCTTTTGCATCTTACAAAAGCTAAAAATGATCTTTAGCAACAGCAGTAAGACATTTAAAACACATTTTATACACTATAATCACACACTGTAGGTTCTTTCTGAAGGTTTTGAAGTCTGAAATTCCAACCTGTTTTATAATTAAGTATATATGTACTTTTTAAATAACTGTTTTAAATAGTTAAACATATTCACATTTATAATATTTCATCAAGTTGTATAAGTAAGTACACTGTTTTCAGATTCAGAATTTTACAACTACTTTCTAGCCCTTCTTGTTTTTAGCTGTAAACTGATTAGAAAATTTGATGACAAAGAAATATGCTTCATTGTAAAGCATCAGGTCAGTATCATTTTTATTCTCTGAGATGCTTGATATTTAACAACATATCAAAATTGTGAAAGTAGCTCCTTCACTCTAGGGAAGCTTTTTGAGTTTTGCTTCTGCTGCCTCTACCATGTCTTTCACTGGTGAACTGGACAGATACCCTTCTTCAACACTGACCCCAACTTCCCAACATCTTGAATATGAGGTTCTTCAAAGCTTTGGATTTAGATTGTGAGCTACCGCAAGTGTTTTAAATGGCTGTGTGTTCACATGTTTTAAAATGGAAAAAATAGAGTATGAAAATCTAATCCTTCATACGCTATGCCAACTAAAGCTATGTGGTTCTAGAAATAGAATCTCTCTCAGCTGGATGAAATTAGTCTTCAATTCTAAGTGCTTCTATATTGATTTGGGGGCTGCATATTTCCTTCAAATGTTATTTGCTCACTCTTACATTTTCAAAAAGTAAATTGAATTATGACCCAACATTAAAATACTAGAGGCTTATACATGACTATTTGCATGTGGGGAATTATCCTATAACATCAGATGATTTGGAACTCTGGGCCAGTCTTCCTCCCAGGATCCTGGACTCGAATAGATGCTGCCATCTTTAGACAGGACTTTTTATTTTACATTCTACACAGTCCACTTCTACCCCTTCTTGATACCTTAGGTTCTCTGACTGGCATTTGTTAACATTTGTGTCTGAAACTTATGAATTATAGAAACCCTTCTCTCTAGTCATAACTACTCATGATTTAATTCTTCAGTTTTTCAGCAGCCTAGTTACACATGCATTTATTTCTCATTGCCTGGAATAATTACTTCCATGAATGACTGTCTCCTTCACTGTATCTTAAGTTACTTGAGGACAGAGTACCTGGGATTTATGTCTGTATTTCCATAATTCCTCATCTAGTGTTTTGCAAAGAGTAAGTACTTACTGAATAATTAAAGGGCATTTTAATAGTTTGTATTGTCAAAATGAATACATGTGATTATTAGGACTTGGTTATTCAAAATAGTATTTTCATTACATTTAAACATGTATTAGTAAACATTCTTAAAGGAAAAAAATGTCAGTATCCATGGTTATTCCTCTAAGTGTACGTGGTAATACAATTACACATGTGAATCCTACCTTAAGAATTGTAGAGAAGTGTAAATAAAAGAACACAGTCTTTAAAATCTGTTAGATCTGGATTCTACAGATATATCTCAAGTTATTCACCTTGATAAACCTTAGTTTCTTGACCTCTAAGTTAGAATTATGATTATCTATGTCTTATACTTATTACATTTGTTGTGAAAAGGAAATGGAATTTGCAAAATGTCCTGTCTTTTTAGTAAATGCTTAAAATGCTTATCACACTGGAAAGAGATACAGTTAACTCTGCAAAAACTTTGTCACGGCCTTGAGAGTGACCTGTGAAATATTTTCATGTCATGAAAATGAAGTGGAAATGGAAAAAAAAAAAGAAAACCTTGAAAATCTTCAGAAGTATCCTTTGCCTAAATTAGATAAGAGACATTTTAGAATGTTAATGTAATCTGCTAGAAACTGAAAAAAAAAAACAAAACACTTTCTCCACCTTTGTACATTTATTTCTTGATATAAAGATAGAATGGTGTGTTATTCCAATGCAAATACAAGAAAAAAAAGGCAGCTACTCCTTGATTGATAAAAGCTTTAAGAACAGAATTTCACAATCAGTGGGTAGGGCAGGGAGGAATGTTTTGATCTCCTGATAAGACTATGCTTGGGCATAGAACTATCCAAGATAAAGTGACACCTATAATTGCAGGGCTCAGAATTCTGACACCAAGGGGAGGCAGCCACTTTCAGAGTCTGGGCAACTGAAAATCTAAATCGGGTGGACTGAATTACAGAGGGTAAGTAAGATGCTGAGTAGTCATACAACTTACGGGAGGGAGGCCCCCTTTTTCAGTTGGTGCTGACACAATGCAGAGTTGTGCAATAATTAGTCACTTTATTATTTAAAATACCGTTTTAAATATGTTTAAACATGCATTGGTCTTACGTTCATAAAGAGAAAAGGCCAATATCCATGACTGTATTCTAAGTCAATATGTTTACACACTCATACATGTGAAATCCACCACTGAGGTTTACAGTAAACCCAGAATACTTAGCATAGTCCTGGGTCTCCTACATTAGTTCTTCCTAGAAGCATATATATATAACCCTTCAGAGGATTCACACAAATTTCTTAGATTACAGCACTATTCTCCTAATTAATCACCCAAATTTTTCAACCTATCTCCATCCTCCACCCAGCAGCTAGCTGGATGATTTAAAACAGCACTCACATTCTAAGATTCTGATCATTCTCTAACAAAGTTTAAAGTAAATCCATGGCTGATTCATGTCAATGTATGACAAAACCCACTACAATATTGTAAAGTAATTAGCCTCCAACTAGTAAAAATAAATGAGAAAAAAAAAAAGAAAACAATTGCCCTTAACCAAGTGAAAAAAAATAAAGACTTTGTGTGGCTTAGAAGGCCCTCTGTTACCTGTCCTTCCATATTTCTTAGCATTCTTTTGCCTTGCAATTGATACCCAAGTCATTAGGAAATTCACTCATTTCTTAAATAGGTGAATATTTCCCTTACTTTCTGAACCTTAAGACACAATAAATTTCTTCTCTACATACTTTCTACATACTTTTGACTCCCCACTCTTCCTTCGTATATCAGCCTAAATAATACTTTATTCATAGCACCTTCCTGCTCCCAGGAGACAGCTCTTCCATGTGGGGTACTGGCAAGGTACCAGTCCATTTGCTATCTGCACAATCCTACGCCAATGGAAAACTCATGTATCAGCTGAACCAAACACTGGGGCCTGAGACTTCTCCAGTTCCATCTTTCTCTAAACCCACTCTTCTCCTAATGATTGGATGAAAAGGTGGAGAGGGGAAGGTGGTGATTTTCATAGTAAGTCCAATTCTGTTTTCTTTATAAAGACCTATGGAGAGGACCCTAGTACCGAATTTTGAAGACCTCAGCATGTCAGCTACTTAGACTATTTTTGTCTTTTATTTGGGGTACAAATTATCAATTGTAGAATTACAGAAAAGCTGTCAACATGTTGTTATATTTATTTAAGTGTCTACCTCTTATGTGATATTTTTACTGTCTGCCACGGAGCCAGGCACACAGGACACACTCAATAAATATATACTGAATGATAATCAGAGAAGTAAAATGACTAGTTCTAAACCATAAGCCCTGTTTGGCTGCATAATTCCTGATTTAGTAATCATGTACTGTGCTTAGTCATGTCCCACTCTTTGCAACCCCATGGACTATAACCCACCAGGCTTCTCTGTCTATGAAGTTCTCCAGGCAAGAATAATGGAGTGGGTTGCCATTTCCTTCTCCAGGGGATCTTCCCAACCCAAGGACTGAACCCGAGTCTCTTGCATCTCCTGCATTGGCAGGCAGATTCTTTACCACTGTGCTACCTGGGAAACCCTTAATCATGTACTAATAGTATGAAGAACAAAAGGCATTATGAATAGTTACCTTCTTGGTTAGTAATAACATCCTTAAAAGCTCAGTTTTACTCAAGGTAATAGATACCACAACTTTATAATAAAATATTTAGCAAATGTACAGTACTATGAATACATGTACTTCACTAAATTCACTTATGGAAGAAAATACTTTTTGGTATGCCTTTTTCAAAACATCCAGGAAAGCCAAGAAAACAAATCACAAACAAGAGAATTTTGAAAAACACAACTTACCCCCACGCCCAAAGTTTGCAATCTCATTTGGGCCACTATTGCTATTGTTTACTGGCAAGCTGGTGGCTGGCCATGAGTCAGCAAGCCATGGATAACTGGGATCACCAGCATTTAGAAGACCTGGGCGGCTAAAACAGGAAAACATGGAAATCAGTCCGTGGAACTCCATGAGCGATGTGCACATCTGTCTCATGAACTACAGTGGATTAAAGAATTTAAGATTTTAATTCACTTTCAAATTAAAATCTGGAGGCTCTCAAGAATTTAGGAACTTTGGCAATTCACTGAGGCTCTGTATAGATCATCCCTGTCAATGGAAGCAGAAGAGTCCTGCCTGGGATTCTGCTGACATCCAAATGAATTCAGTCATCTCCCCTGAAACTGGTAGGACACTGGTAACGTAGCAGCATCCTGAAACAAGATCTAATGATAAATTGGCATCTCAAGGGAACAATTGCTCAGAATGATTGCTTAGTATCAGCCATTTCCAGGACTTTGGGCTATTGCTCCTTCAATTCCTACAGCTCCCATATTTATCTGTCCCCTATAGGCTGTAACCCCTGTTATGAGCCCTCATGGTTGATTTACAGGCAAGGAACTTAAGGGAAATAAATGAAGAGTATTTATACTGTTCCATCAATAGTACATTTTCAGGTTCTCTAAATTTAAAGTGTTAGGAGAATATGAAAGTATTTTAGGGTGATAAAAGATCCACTGCGGTCTGATCCAGTATGTGCATAATCATCTATGAAGAAAACTTCTTTTGCATCATATTCAATAAAGAATCCCTATCTTTAATGTAAAAGTGGGATTCTGATCCCTTTCCAGATTATTACCATATTTACAAAGATATAGCAACATCTATAATCATTGTAGTTTTTTTTTTTTTCCTGATAGACCCTTGGTGATACAATCCTTAAGAGAAACATGTGTTTCTATGGAAACTGCAAGAAGGAGATCCAACTGCTTTCTGGCTACATCCACCAGCTCTCATTAGACCTAATCTCTTTTTGCTAAAATATTGATTAAATGGGAGATTGGAAGTTATTACCAGAGCCTAATTACAATCTCCATATCGGCAAAGGGAAAATAGATGAGGATATATGGGTTTGTTATCAGTTTTTATCAATTTCAATTGAGTATCCAAAGTTGTGGAATCCAGTCCTATCAATCTACAGCCTATTCATCATCCATGAATCATTTACTTTGTGATCGATTATGTGTAATTGTTCACTCACAGCAATTTGGTGAGAACCAATAAGGAGCCTTAAACAAGAGCAACTTCATTTGCTAATGTCTAATTAATGCAATAAACATCCTGCTAACAAATGAACACATTCCTTGTGATATTTACTACTAATTTCTTCAGGGGCATCTGGGAGATATGAAACATCTGGACTTGATTCCTCTGAAGTGCACAACAGATAGATCATTAAACCTTGTTGTAAGCTGTTTAATTCCTTCTAGAATTCTCAGACTTATAAGTGATCGTTTATTACAATAATTGTCTTTTACTATGTAGTTTCCTCAGTCCTGATTAAAAATAAAAATAAAAAATCTCCTTGGTATACCTTCCATTGCTCATTAGTCCTCCATCTCCTCTTTGAAATGTAACTGTGAAAAAAAAGAAACACACACAAGTAGTCAATATTAATTACAATTAACAACAACTACATATTGGCCTTTCGTTTAGAGCTGAAGCCCCTGGGAATTATAGCAAAATATAATTAACATAATTGCACAGATAGTAGGAAGCAGTGGTTTGGCCTAAAGCAAAGCCATCATTTGTTCCAACTTTAATAAGACATCTAAAAATTCTTCAGGCCAAACACACGGTTAAGTCAAAGGGGCAATTTTTATATGTATGTCAGTTGGTACATATATGGTATTGGAAGATGGACATGCATTGACAAAGAATTATCACACCATGATTTTTAATGCTAATATACAGGTGTCCTAATTAGAGGGCATAAGACAAACTGCACATAATGGAAACTGAAACAGGGAGTTCAAACAGGTAATATCCTTCTAATGAAACCAGGGAAACAGATACAGATTGAAAACCTATTCCTCTCCATCACAGATCCTTTTAGGGACACTGAGAAGCACTATGAGTTGAAATACTACAATTACTGTATCGTAGACATGAACTGTAGTGAATAGAGAATACCTAATGTATTGAATGCTTTGCTTCATTTACAAATCCTTACAAAAATGAGACTTTCAACTTATTGAATATATTCCCATTGTATGTAATGATGATACAACTTAAGTCCTTTTTAAAACTATGGAGCATATTAGCAATGCCAACAAGCATCCAGTAAAGCCCACAGCTGGAGAACCCACTCCCTCTGGTCACTAGATTTCATTCTACAAAGCTAACAACATGAAAGTGGGTGTCAAGGATCAGCAAAGAAGATAAATATCAGTTTCGGTGCATCATCTCCTACCCACAATCTTTGCAGCTAAATTTGTTTGGAATTAAAATGCTTCAGATCTGAGACAGGTAATATGATGCACACTGCAGAGAAGATCTGAGTCAGCAACTATATTCAAAATGATTAGTTTTGCAATGAGATGTGAATATTCACAATTAGTGGAACAAAGTCTATATATGACTTCATATTATTTTGGGTCAAATTTTGCCACTAAATTACTTAACTAAAAAATCATTGGGAAAAATTTGGTGTTTAGAAGTTTATGGACTGCACAATTTCAATTCTGACCAAAATTAATATGCATCAGCTAAACTAGTTCCTGGGAAGAAGGAAAAAATACCATTTCACAGATGTGAATTCAACATGCCCTATCTTGGAAGACACTGATTATATTTACTATGATTACTTGGTGAGCAAAAGTGAAAATAACATTTTATGAATTGATTCATATTTGTAATGAACTTGCTACTTAAAGTATACACTTAGTAAATACTTTATCATTTGAATAATCTCTCCATAATTCACCTGTTTCTTAAGTTTGAGCTAATAAGTATGATAACTCTTTAGGTTTTATAAATTTCTAAATGTAGTTCCCCAGTCTCCTCCCTAAGGTTGTCTAAGAATATATCTATTCAGTTCAGTTCAGTTGCTCAGTCATGTCTGACTCTTTGCGACCCCATGGACTGCAGCACGCCAGGCTTCCCTGTCCATCACCAACTACCGGAGCTTACTCAAACTCATGTCCATCGAGTCAGTGATGCCATCCAACCATCTCATCCTCTGTTGTCCCCTTCTGCTGCNCAGGGCAACAATATACAGCCTTGACGTATTCCTTTCCCAGTTTGGAACCAGTCTATTGTCCCATGTTCAGTTCTAACTGTTGCTTCTTGTCCTGCTATAGATTTCTCAAGAGACAGCTTAGGTGGTCTCGTATTCCCATCTCATCTCTTGAAGAATTTTCCACAGTTTGTTGTGATCCACACTGTCAAAGGCTTTGGCATAGTCAACAAAGCAGATGTTTTTCTGGAACTCTCTTGCTTTTTCGATGATCCAATGGATGTTGGCAATTTGATCTCTGGCTCTCTTGCCTTTCCTAAATCCAGCTTGAACATCTTGGAAGTTCACGGTTCACATACTGTTGAAGTCTGGCTTGGAAAATTTTGAGCATTAGTTTGCTAGTGTGTGAGTTGAGTGCAATTGTGTGGTAGTTTGAGCATTCTTTGGCATTGCCTTTCTTTGGGATTGGAATGAAAACTGACCTTTTCCAGTCCTGTGGCCACTGCCATATATCTCTTATGGCATCATAATTAGGCAATATCATCATCATCCAAGGGTTTATCAGGAATTCATGAGGCTGTACTTTCAGAAACATCTCATTGGTACCTAAAGCACACTGCTTTATGAAGTTTTTAGGTATCTTCTCAAGTGTAATACAAAACAATCCTGACAGAACCTTTGCACCTACCCAGGACTGGCTATGAAGAAGATAAATATTGATCACTAGTCTGCTTTGTGATGGGCTCCCTTAAGTATTGGGAATCAACAATCAGTTGTGTGTCCATACCACGTTGGGTCCCTTTAATAACAGTTTTTAACAACAACAAAAATAAAAAATTGATCTGAAACAATTATTGGAAAAAAAATCACCGCTGACATTAAATAAAGGTCTGATTAGGTTGGAAAAATACAAAATGTGAAAACAGTGCAGCTAATTAACTTTCCATATGAAGTGACTTTCTAGTATGTGGTTTTTTAATGGACTATCAAGTGATTGTTTCACTCTGATAAAAGAGGGCTAAGATAATGTTGTAGCCCAGCCGACGGATGGGCTACACCTTCCAGTGTGTTGTTTAGAAGATATGAGGGGAGAAGCTGAGGAAATCTAATTTGGATGCTCTTTTTTCCTTACCCAAATTTTCTGTTACTGTCAGAGCAAAAAATAATATTAGAAAAAAAGAAGACAACTGAAGCTGAGGACAACTGAACAAAAATTAAGTTACATTTGACTTTATGTACTTAGCACTATGTTAAATTTTTCATAAACTGCAAATATTAAAGTACTAAGATGCAACACTCAAAATCTTATCCAAAGATATCATTCAGATGCCAGTCAGCACAAGGAAAGATGATCAGCATCATTAATCATTAGGGAGATAGAAATCAAAACTACAATAAGATGTTACCTCACACCTGTTAGGTTGGTTTCTATGCAGGAAACATAAAATAAACATTATTGAGAATATGAAGAAACTGAAACCATTGTGTACTGTTGGTGGAAGGTAAAAACCATTTTACCCTTAGTTGAAAATACCATGTTTCTTACTCAAAAAATGAAAAATAGAATTACAATAAGACCAGAAATTCCACTTCTTGATATATACTCAAAAGAAATGAAATTAAGATATCAAAGAGATATTTGTACATCCATGGTCATCGTAGCATTATTCATTGCAGCTAAAATGTGGAAGCAAACCAAGCATCCATTGATGCATGAATGGATAAGTGTATAAACGGATGCAACGGAATATTAATCAGCTTTGAAAAGGAAGGAAATTCTGACATATGCTAAAACTTGGATGTACCTTGAGGACTATATGTTAAATGAAATAGGCCAGTCACAAAAAGACAAATACTGTAAAAGTCTATTTATGTACTCTATGGGGTACATAAAGTAGTCAAAATCACAGAGACAGAAAGTAAAATGGTGATGTGAGGGCTGGAAGGAGAGGGAAATGGGGAGTTGTTGTTTACTGGGCAAAGGTTTTCAGTTTTAAAAATTGAAAAAGTTTATGGAGATGGATGGTGGTGATGGTGCACAACATCATGAATGTATTTAATGCCTCTGAACGGTACACTTAAAATGGTCAAGATAGCAAATTTCATGTAACGTGTACTGTACCACAATAAAAAGTTGGGGAAAAAATATTCAAACATTCACTGAGGTTTATTTACAGATGTGTTAAGAGTGTAGACTCTATAGTATGGTCCATATTTATCAACTGAGAGTTAAATGTTGTGAATGAAAGAATTTTAAATTTCAGAACATTCAAGACACATCCATTTTCTACTTTTATATAAATCATTAAGTAATTTCAAATCTACAAAGAGATTGTCAAAAATAATTCTTAAAGACATTTATGTTTGTGCCTCTTCATACCAACTATACAGAGGCAAAAATACACAGTCATTATATAAACACATAATTGACTTAAAATGGCCTGTGGAAACAACTTGATATGTATGAAAAACTTCAATTTTGTGTTTCTTTTTTTTTTAAATTTTTTAAAAAAAATTTTGTGTGTTTCTATCAGGAGAAAACAACAACAACAACAAACTCAATACCCTTACGTAATAAAGTTGAACTGTTGTCTTTTTGAAGCAAGGGAAAAAGAGGATACTTTTTCAGGTTTCCTTTTCTTCCCATGCTCCAAAACTTTTAGATTTGTTCCATTTTGAAAAGCAGACCAAAAGTAAATGAGTTCTATTTGACCGTGAGATTAAAAACAGAAGAGAAAGGATAAACAATTAGATCTCCTAAAATGGAAGTCATATTTGGTGTTTTGATCAACATTGTGTGTGTGTGTGTAGAGACAGAGAAACATAAAAATAAATGCCTCAGCAATTTGAAAGCTGTTTAGAAGTAGGTCTCATTTCAGAGGTGCTGAACTACCTTAAAGCTGAAAGAGGATAGAGAGGGTAGGTGGTTGAACAGTCTTGCTGTAGTCACAGTTTTGATAATCATAGTGTAGTAACTTTGTGCTTGTCAAAAGTAACTTTTAAATAAGTGAGTGTTTTTTACCAAGAGTTTCTGATAGTATCTAAAATTAAGACTTTAAAGGGAGCAACATAGAGTGCACAGGAGTTTTTATTTCTAAAACTGTCTGACTAGTGCTAAGGTTTCCAAAAAGCTCTATAGACACTACACTCTTAACTGTTTTAGAAATATACTAAATATTCTGAATTTATTGCAGCATTTATGAAAGATACAAGGTAAAGAGATTTTGCAAGTTCAGATCATATACAAAGTACCTCTACTATTATCTGTCAGGATTAATCCTAATCTCATGCCTGCTAGCACTGAGGGAAAAGGGAAATATAACTACATGGAAAATTGACATTTTGAGGTAAGGAAGCTTTCAGAGTGCCTATCTCTAGTAGGCCACATTTTCCTACTCCAAATGGAAACTTTAATGTTGCCAGCCAAGCCTCATTCCCTTGCCTGATAAGCTATTTCTCAACTATGAATGTAGATTAATCCTCTTTTAATAAGCCTTAATTCAAGCCCAGATAATCAGAGTATAAAAATTCCATCAAATCTTTTAGCTGTCTTACGATGGTTTTGTCAAATAATTTCACCAATGGTTTAAAACCTATGCATGAAGTGTTTGGTATTTCATAATTTGCTCACTCATTAAATTATTTACATTTACTGAGTTTAATCAAATCTGCCATCCTCAGAGGTAATATTCATAACATAGAACTCATCCCTTTAAAAGTGTGAAAGTTAGCTTACTTTCATTAAAAAGTTGATAACTTAAAATTATTGATAGAAATATGACCAGCATTAGTTTGAAAAAATCATGCAGTCTTCATGAAGATCATAATATGACATACAGAATCCTCATGAAAGCTGCATGGCTTTACGCAAACTATATTGTTCACTCTTCTATTCACGAACACCATTAACACATACAGTCAAAATTTTCTTTAGATTCAAAAGTCACCTAATATTTTCTGCCCAAATATCTTCATGATTCTATTTCATCCTATAACAACTCAGGTAGTGAATATTTCTGGCAGTCAGGAAGGTCACAGGCAAAGGCAAGCACTGTTAGTACTCAATGAAGATCAAGATAAATAAAAGTGCATGTTACTCTAGAAAAAAATTAAATGATTTCATGTAGAATATGAGACAGGGGAATATGTCTCTCATTCTAGCTGCCCATCTTTGAGCCACGAGCAAACCTTTTGTGCGTGTTTGTGTCTGAAGAATTTAAACAAAGAATAAATAGGAAAATCCTGAAATAGGAAGCTAGTAACTTTGCCCTGGGGAAATCGCCATGTTCTGCTGCGTAAAGAAGCAAAACTTTACATTCAGGCCAAATTCTCCTCTCAGATCGTTTCGCTGTGTAAGTTTACATTTGATTCCTGACAGTTGCTTTTATAATCTACGGTGCTGATCCATTAGTGTTCTATGATCAATATGTTAACTCTTCTGAATCATGAGAACAATATCAATGCTGAATAGCATGTCATTTTTTTTTTTACTTTTCTTCTAAGCATTCAAATATAATTTCCACATGGAGATGGAGAGTCAAAGATTAACCACAATAAAAATCAGTGGGTGAGCTTTTGCCTATAGGGTGAGTGGAAGCCATCCTGTGGAGACTTGGGTTTTCCACTCTGCAAAGGATTTCTTCTCCCCACTAGTTAAAGTTCCCTGTGATGGTTAAAATCTTCCCTATGATGGTTAAAAATCTACCTGTGATATTAAGAAGACTTGGAATGAAGTAGGAAAGGCAAGTACTGAAATCAAATTCAACCTACTTTTTAATTCTACTTGGGAATTCCCAGGTAGCTCGCTTGGTAAAGAATCTATTTGCAGTGTAGGAGACCTGGGTTCAGTTGCTGGTTTGGAGAAGGAAACAGCAACCCACTCCAGTATTCTTGCCTCAAAACCCCATGGACAGAGAAGCCTGGCAGGCTACAGCCCATGGGGTCGCAACAGTCAGACGCAACTTAGTGACTAAATCGCCACTTCAATTCTACTTAGGATCAGCATTATTAAAATGCATGTTTCTGAATTTATATGAATTGTTGCAGATGTTGAAGTATAATCTAAGATCACATTTGGGGTCTAAAGCAAATGAAGTCATCTTTTGTTATAAATTAATTTAAATACTGATCCCAATATAGACTTAAGTTCTTTGGAAAAAGATGATCACTGGTGTCATAAATCAGTAAGAAAAATTTGAAACTATATAGATATTACTGTGTAGTAAAAAGAAATTTTAGACTTTTCATTTTCTGAGTAAAATTATATTGCTTTAAGGTTGCCAGTTTTGCATTTTATATTTGTAAAATTAGAAGATTCCCACAGAAATTTCTGTGAAAACCAAAATATAAACAGAACTATTACACATAGACTACTTTCTCAATAACTTTTATAAAATACTTCAGAGAAAATTAGCCCTGTATGAAATCTCTGTGCTCTTAAAACAGATCATTAGCTCGTGAATCAAATATCATAAATTGTAACATATGATAAACAAATACTACACTAAGCATGCCTATTTACAATCCTCATATTCTTTAAGCTGTAGAAAGACAAGAATATAAAAATTTCAGAAAGCGGAGGTTAGGATATTTATGGGGAGGAATGTGTAGAGAATATTACCAAGTCAGATATGCAATGCTGAGTACCTGCAGTGTGGATTTTCATTTGCTTCTCACCTAGAAGAGAACAGCAGTTGCTGGAAGGCAAATTTCCAGCTGAAGGTGAATCCATTCTGAGAGTCAGCCATCTATCAATTAAGGATAAAGGTTCAGAAAGCCTGCTCTGTGGCTTGGCCTGATTCCAAAATATTTGAAGGGCATAGCACCTTCTGAGTTAGCAGTTCTTCTACAAGCAGATGGATATCAATCACAATGAGAAATGACAACAGGAAATGTGCTATTCTTGTCCAGCTCAAAGACCAACAGATATTTTCCAATCAAATATAAAGAACTGCTGTTTTTAAAGAGAAGAAGAAAGAAAAGAAGAAAGGCTCTCTGACATGATTTTACGAAAAAACATAACTACTAATTATGAGAGTAATGCTATTAGGAAGAAGTAAATGAAAATCCTACAGAGGGTAAAAATGCAACACTCCAAATGTGGCACTGAAGTGACTAACATTGTCAGTCTTTTATTATTTTCACTAAAGTCAAGCAAAGAGATAAACACAAAAATAGTCTTTGATTTACATGGGCACGTCACAGAGACAAAACAGAACATGGTGACTGACTAAACAGACAGGTAAACGGACAATATCTTCAGGGAATGAAAGCAGGGGACTGGACTGCAAAACAAGAAGTTACATGAAAGTATCATTAATGTTCATGACTCTGACACTCAGCAGTCATTGCCCAGCACCCCTTTCCAGGAAGAATCCTTCACTGGCAGGGTGATAAAGCGCTCAGATGACAAAGCATAAGGAAGCAGGCATCAGCAACCAATGAGAAATGAGAATAGCAAGTCACAAAGTATGGAAACCCTCTGCAACGAATACACTACACTACCTTCTCTAGTCCTGGGAATATATTCTAACCAGTAACTAACAAATGTTATTTCTACAAGCTATAGTCATGAGCTGCAATGTGATCATCAACTGATCATATTTAAATACCACTCAATAACAAGGAAAACAACCAAATGGATGCTGTTTCTTTCATTTAGAACTATTCTTAGAAGCTTGGATGCTACAAGTTAAAGCAGCTGATAAGCTTAATAAGTAATGAAGCCTCTGTCAAAATCACTTATGAAGACATTTATGCTTCTTATTAAAGTAAAAATTAGAAATAGAAGATTAATAAAATATCTCAAAGATTTTTAAAATATTTGTAGGACAATGATAAAATTGTTCCCTTGAAAATTTCAGAAAATGTAAAGTATTTGTGAGGCAATTTTTTTTTTATCACTGTTAGAGAAAGTACTTAAAATGAATATAATTCAAGCTTTAACTGAACATAGCTTCATTATCAAGGTCATTTTTCACTCACTGACTTGATAATTTTCTCTCTCTTTCAGCCTTGGATGTATTTTGAAGGCCACAACTTTGGGCATCCTTAAAATTCCTGTTCTGGATTCAAAGAAAACATTTTTGCAAACAAGTAGAACATCTAGGATCTTATTTTTCTTCTCTTTCTTTTGCTTGTTTTTTCTTCTTTCTAAAATGCTCATTGGTCACTTTAAAATAGACATTCTATTTAAGTGACTAGTAAAACAAATCATGCCTCATCAGTTTCATCAATCCTGGTGAAATTTTTTGTTTTGTTTTGTTTGTATTTTTCATCTGGGATACATTTCCCTTTGTAATTTGTATTGTTAAATACAAAAAAATACATTTCAAATCTTTTCTTTTTCCTGAGCATTTTAGGAATGCTCTTGCTTAAATATCCTCTTCAAACATGGTGTCATAGCTTGCAAAGTCTATGTGCGTGTGTGTGTGTGTGTGTTTTGAACTATTGAGAAAAATGGCTAATCACATTATTGGTTTGCACTCTTCTTATGCTTCCTTGGAGATAGAGGCAAAAAGATGGCCTTATGGTCATAATGTGATATGATGAAGAACAGTGTATTAAAGCATGTTGTTTATAATGGTTTAAATCAAGCAAAAAACACCTATTCATTCACTCATTTCATAATCCATTTCATTCTTTCTCTTGCATTTTATCATATTTCTAAAGCTAAGATATTTTCTTAGCTGGAAATAGCCTCTTACCAGCATAATTACTGAGTCCCTTTCTCTTCTTTCTTCGCCAGTACAACCAGATGCTAAAACCCATCAGAATTACCCAGCAGGCACCACCAATACCAGCTATAAAAGCTGGTTGCTTCACAACATCAGTGATTTGCTCAGTTATGCTGTTATTGTTTTCAGTAATGACAACTTCATTTCGTCCCCCTATGGAAGAAACAACACTGTTAGTACTAGTAAATATTAAGACCCAAAACCCCACAAAAATACATACGTGCTATACCAAAGGCACAGAAGATTGTAACCTTCTTTGAAGCAGGTAATATCTGTTGTGTCCTGACCCTGTAACAATTTACTGGTAAGCAGATTTTATAAGTTTAAAAAGAAGAATCAAATCATAAGTTTGAAATGTGATTAAGAACATTGCTCCTTTGTGTTTTGTTTTATTATGGACAGATTCAGAACCACTTCTTGATTTATTGCCTCATATATAAGTACTAAAACAAGTGTGTGAGCTGAAATAATAACTTTTCCTCAGTTAGGTAAAGCATTTTGTAAGACAATTCTCATTTAAAAAAAGAAAAGCAATTACAACATTTAAACTGGGTATTTGAAAATTACCTTTCCCCTACAGCACTGCTAATACAGATGATCAAAATACTTCTCTTAATATTTTACCAAATACTTTACCTTGATCAAACATACTTTAATTTTCTGGAAGGTACTGAAACTGCTATATTAAATAATGATAATAACATAAACATCTTTTCATAGAGATTAGTATCTATAGTTAAAATCTCACAGAAAGATAAAACTCCTAAATGCCCCTAAAGTATCTGAAACTAATTTGAAAATCCACTTGAAAGTTGGCTAAAACAACTTGAAAATTAATTCTAAGGTCTATGTAACAAGTCATACATTTAAATCTAGACTAAGATTATTCTAGAAGTTGTCACATTTCTGACAGTTTAGCCCTCTCAGACACAATAAAGACAATCTCAATCCACATTTTTAAACAGGTTTAAGACTCATGGAATTCTAACATTACTAATGAGCAAAGATTTAGGTGCTTATTTAATAGATGAGTGAATTCAGAAACTGGAAACTAAGTGAATTCTCATATTAATATCATATCTCATTAGTGAGTAAACAAATAATTAAAAGATAAATTGTAAGCAAAATATAAATGGCAAATTTCAGCATATCATATCAAAGGAACATGTAATTCTCTTGTTTTAGTTATCCTGGCACTGTAACATACTGGAAACGACAAGGTCTTTGAAGTTCCACATTTGAGTATCATCTCTGTCACTTCCTAGCTAGGAAAGCAATGGGTTTATGTAGGGCACTTAATCTTCTGGAATCCCTGTTTCTATTAGCTGGTGACAGTAGCTTCTGTTTCATACGTTTGGGAGGATTAATCCAGATGATGAATGTAAGGAGTGGACTAACCTGGTGACTCAGCCGGAAAGAATCTGCCTGCAACGCGGGAGATGTAGGAGATGAGCAAGATCTCCTGAAGGAGGGCATGGCAACTCACTCCAGTAAGTTGCCTGGAGAATCCCATGGACAGAGGAGCCAGGCAGGCTACAGTCCATGAGGTTACAAAGAGTTGGACACGACTGAACGATCAAGACTTTACTTTTAGTTTACTCCTACCTGAGTGGGTCTTAAGTACCTCTTAGCTTTACATGGGCCATAATTTGAGTCACAAATTATAGTATTCCTATTAACCTCTTTACATGTGCAAGCATATGTGCTTAGGCGTGCTTGCATTGCTGGCAGATTCTTTACATCTGAGTAACCAAGGAAGCCCCAGGTAGGAATATAAGTTGTAAATTATCTAGATATGAGAGTCCTTCAAACCATAGGTGACTTGTTTACCAAGGTTTCACCTTTCTTCCAGAGAAGAAAATTAGCCTGTATCTCTCAGCCTCCCTTGTAGCTGAGTGCAACAAAGTGACTGAATATTGGACAATTGTACACAGACAGATGCATGGTATCTCTGGACCAATCCATGTACCACTGAGACGGCATTCATACTCTCTTTCCTAAGGTGTTGGATAAAACAAGGGATCAGTTGTGGGATGCTGACCCTATGAGAGACGGTACACCATTGGCTGGAAGGATCCACATGCCATGAAAAACTCAATGGAGTAGAAACCCCATCCTCCATTCTGCAAACCCATATTAGACTGACTATGAATAAAAGAAACTTACTTTGTTAAGCCAATCAGAATGCCCATTTGTTTGTTATTTGTTGTTCAGTTGCTAGGTCGCGTCTGACTCTTTGTGACCCTGTGCACTGCAGCACGTGAGGCTTCTCTGTGCTTCACTCTCTCCCAAAGTTTGCTTAAGTTCATGTTCATTGAGTCAGTGATGCTATCTAACCATCCCATCCTCTGCTGCTTACTTCTCCTTTTGCGTTCCACGTTTTCCAGCATCAGGGTCTTTTTCAAAGAGTTGGCTCTTCCCATCAGGAGTATTGGAAACTCACTTTCAGCAACCGTCTTCCAATGAATATTCAGGGTTGATTTCCTTTAGGATTGACTGGTTTGATCTCCTTGTTGTCCAAGGGACTCTCAAGCATTTTTTTCCTGCACCACAACTCGAAAGTATCAATTCTTTGGCACTCAGCTTTCTTCATGGTCCAGCTCATACATCCGTACATGACTACTGGAAAAACCATAGCTTTGACTATATGAAATTTTACTGGCAAAGTGATGCCTCTGTTTTTTAATTTGCTGTCTAGGTTTGTCTTCGCTTTCCTTCCAAGGAGCAAACATCCTTGAATTTCATGGCTGCAGTCACCATCTGCAGTGATTTTAAAGCCCCCCAAAACAAAACTTGTCACTGCTTTCACTTTTCTCCCTTCTATTTCCCATGACGTGATGGGTCTAGATCACTTGATCTTTATGTTTTGAATGTTCAGTTTCAAGTCAGGTTTTTTACTCTCTCCTATCACCCTCATCAAGAGTCTCTTTACTTCCTCTTCAATTTCTGCCATTAGTGTGGTATAATCTGGATATCTGAGGTTGTTGACATTTTTCCTGACAATCTTGATTCCAGTTTGTGATTCATCTAGCTTGGCATTTCGCATGATGTACTCTGCATATAATTTAAATAAGCAGGGTGACAATACACAGCCTTGTCATACTCCTTTCCCAATTTTGAACCAGTCAGTTGTTCCCTGTCCTATTCTAACTGTTGCTTCTTGGCCTGCATACAGGTTTCTCAGGAAATAGGTAACGTGGTACGGTATTCTCATATCTTAGAAAATTTTCCAGTTTGTTGTGATCCACACATCAAAGCCTTTAATGTAGTGAGTGAAGCAGAAGTAGATGTTTCTTTGGAATTCCCTTGCTTTTTTCTATGATCCAACAGGTGTTGGCAATTTGATCTCTGATTCCTGTCTTTTCTAAACCCAGCTTGTACATCTGGAGTTCTCGGTTCACATGCTGTTGAAGCCTAGCTTGAAGGATTTAAAGCATACGCTTACTAGCATGAGAAATGAACACAAATGTACAGTAGTTTGAACATTCTTTGACATTGCCCTTCTTTGGGATTGGAATGAAAACTGACCTTTCCTGTTCCAAGCCAGTGCTGAGTTTTCCAAATTTGCTGACATATTGAGTGCAACACGTTAACAGCATAATCTTTTAGCATTTTAAGTAGTTCAACTGGAATTTCATCACCTCCACTAGCTTGTTCATAGTAACGCTTCCTAAGACCCAGTTGACTACACACTCTAGGATGTCTGGCTCTAGGTGAGTGACCACATCAACATTGTTATCCAGGGTATTAAGTTTTTTTTTTTGTATAGTTTTTCTGTGTATTCTTGCCAACTTTTCTTAATCTCTTCTGCTCCTGTTAGGTCTTTACTATTTCTGTCCTTCATCATGCCCATCCTTGCATGCAATATTCTACTGTCCAATTTTTATATAGTCCAGTATTTCATTTCTGAAGTTTCTTTTGTGTTAATTTCCAGATTTAAAAATCACCTTTACCTGTGTGGTAAACCTGGTTCATTTTCCTAATCTATCTGCTTTTAATCATTATACATATAAATATAGTCTAAAATGTATTTAAAATGAGCTCATATTCATATATGTTTGACTGTGGTAAACACTAGGTATTACTAAAAAGAGAACACCTTATAGCATAATCAGAAAAGAAAATTTGTCCTTCATTTGTGTAAAAGAGTCATAAAGCAGCATATTGAATATAGTGGAATATTTATGTTGCCCAAGGTGTATTAGCGTTTCTTGTACAAGTAGTAATTTTCAAACAATGTTGTCAGTTGAACTAATTAGAGCACAGACATGGGATGTGTGTGACCTGTGACAGTGCACTGCTCTTTCAGACAAAAAAAAAAATATAATGAAATATAATGTCTTCCTCCCATTGGAGAGTAATGAAGAACAAAACTAATTTGTTGGACTAAAAATTAATTAGACACATCAGATTCGATTGTACCTATTACTGTGAAAGTTTGCAGCTGTTCCACATATTATTACCAACTATGTAAGGTAAGCGTGAAATGGCCAAATGATTACAGAAGCAAGTTGTATTATTAAGCAAGATGATTGAGACTTTTAAGTGAATATAAGTTTATTATATGACATGGCTGTCTGATGCTTATATATGTAAATATATTTGGTTGCTTTTTTGTGTGTGCAGTTGCCACAGAATTATGGATATTTTGATGTAGAAGTCACTTTAACAGTGGAAATGGCAGACAAAAGAACAATATTACTGTTAAGCCTGGGTGAGGCTGCTTATTATATTTATATAATATTTTAATTAAAGATCCTTTTAATACAGCTTTCTGGAAGAAAAGCTAAGCTGACAAGGAATAGATGAAACAGTACATTGTCTGGCATAAGACAAATCTAAAATTATCAGCCATAAATTCCCTCAAATGCCAATACATGATTTAATTAAAGCAAAGGGGAAATGAAGAAGAGCTTGAGTCACTTCAAGTGCTGTTTCCAGTACTGAGTAGACAATAGGGAAAGCATAAATTGAAAGAGAAGGGGAGATTAGCCATCACTAAATCACTTTTCAACTAAGGAATAGCAGTTGTGTAGATAAGCTTATCAGACAAGATGTTAAGGTAGATATGTGGGAGTAATTAAAGAAACAATTAAACAGTACAACAGAAGATATTAAAAAGAAATAAATCTTTCGAGGACAAATAGTCTTTT